AGCAGCAGAGGACCAGCAGCAGCAGAGGACTGGCAACAGCAGAACCAGGAGACCAGCACCAGACAGTGCTGGAGCTGACCCACAGAGACAGAGCTGAATGCCTTGGCACAAGACGCTTCCTGGTGGAGTGGGGTGCTTCCAGGCATTTATCAGTGGAGCTAGGCTTGCCAACCCACAGAGCAAGAGAGCTGAGTGCCTTCCAGCCGAAGTTTACTGGCGGAGTGGGGTGCCTCCAGGCACTTATTGGTGGAGCTGCAGAGCTTTGGAACTCTTGCCCCAGCAGGGCAGATGTGGGTGTGAGGCCTGAGGAGTCGAGAGGCCAAGAAACCAGGAAGCAGAAGCTGAAGAGACAAGGAACACAGGAAGCTGAGCTGTCTCAGTCTCAAAAGGTACGGCCACAGCCTCTGGGGTTTGAAAGGGTGGAGCTATGGCCTCTGGTGTTTCTAAGGGTGGAGTCGCCACCCAGATGGACTAGGAAAATGGTGCACTTAAAGCCGAGGGAGCAGAGTTGCCATCCCAGTAGGCCTGGAAGGCAGAGCTGAAGCCAGGGCCAAGGGGCCTCCACTCAGAATCCGGAGAGTGTGGCTAATACCTACAGTTTGGAGGGCAGGGCTATTGTGTAAATAGTCTCAGAAAACAGGATTATTTTCAAAGCCTTGATAGTTAACATAATGTGTTCTGCTGACTTGCTTGGTGCCTGTTATGCCTTCTTTCCCTCCAGTTTTTCCCATTTGTAATGGAAATGTCTAGCTTGTGCCTGTTCTGCCATTGTACCTTTGGAAGCAGATAACTTCTAGATTTCACAGATGAAGAGGAATTTTTGGATTTTGGACTTGGAGTTAAGACTTTTGCTATGCTACGATGGGGTGAATAAGTTTTGCATGTTGACAGTATGTGATTTTGTGGAGGCCAAAGTGTGGAATGGCTTGGATTGAATTGTGTCCCCCCAAAATATCTGTCAACCTGGCTAGGTCATGATTCCCAGTATTGTATGATTGCCTACCATTTTGTCACCTGATGTGATTTCCCTATATGTTGTATATTCTATCACTATGATGTAATAAAACGGATTAGTGGCAGTTATATTGATGAGGTCTACAAGATTAGGTAGTGTCTTAAGCCAATCTCTTTTGAGATATAGAAGAGAGAAGTGAGCAGAGAGACATGGGAACCTCACACCACCAAGAAAGCAATACCAGGAGCAGAGTATGTCCTTCGGACTTGAGGTTCCTGCAAAAAGAAGCTCCCAGACCAAGGGAAGATTGATGACACAGCCGACAAAGAAAGTGTTCCCCTAGAGCTGATGCCCTGAATGTGGACTTGTAGCCTACTAGACTGTGAGAGAATAAACTTCTCTTTGTTAAAGCCACAACTTGTGGTATTTCTGTTATAGCAGCACTAGATAACTAAGACACCCACTGACTGAGAGACCTGCTTCTGTGAGCCAGGCTCACAGTGACAACCAAATATGAGCTCCAAAGTTGGTGAATTAGGATGTATGATTTTTTTTCTACCAGTTGCCATCAAGTTGACTCTGATTCATGGTGACCCCATGTGTGTCAGAGTAGAACTGTGCTCGTTATAGTTACTGATGGCTGATTTTTCAGAAGTCGATCGCCAGGCATTTCTCCTGAGGCACCTCTGGGTGGACTCAAACCTCCAATGTTTCTGTTAACAGCTGAGCACATTAACCACCTGTACAACCCAGAGACTTCGACGTGTAATGTACTTCTGATTAAAACTCAGAATGCCAAGTTCTCCTGGATTCTTGACTCAACTTATAATTAATATTGAGAAACACAACACATCTGGCTCCACAAGGCAGAAGGACCACATGCATTTATTTTCTCTCCCTCCTGAGCAAAATTCCAGATCCTCTTCTTCCCAGCCTCTGTGCAGTTGGAGCGCAGGCATGCAGCCAGCTGGCACAGTCAGATGCACCCCCACACTGTGACTCGGGAGCCAGTGACACAGAGAATAGCAGCTTCCTGACATAAGGGCAGCTGTGACAGCTGTGGTTTCACTGCTAAGAGGTGGTGACAACAATGTCCTCGCTGAGCTGGTGTGGTTTTGGCTCTGGTCCTGGAGGCTCCATTTGTCCCTTCTTATTTTCCAGACCTGGATCTCTCACCTCCCCAGGGATTCTGTGCAATGTCCCAAATCCTTACCATAGATTAGTTTTCTGCGTTGGCAACAAGGGCTCTAACTGATAAACAGAGTCATCATTTGGAGGTTTTAAATTAAAGGTCGCCCCCCCGCCGCCTCAGGAATTATTCACATTGCCCTGCCTACTCTGTAGCTTTCCATCTGCTGGGTCCATGGCATTTGCTGCTTTAGGCTGAGGGCAGTGACCTTGGCTACACATTGGAATCCTTGGGTGAGGAGCAGACTTTAAAAGGTGCTAGTGCCTGGGCCCTACCTTGCAGAGATTCTAATTGAATAGGTCTGGGGTGTGGCCTGGGCCTCAGGGTTTTTTTAACCCCCCGCCCCCCACCCCCAAATTCGATTCTAATACGCTGTCAAGGCTGAGCACTACTGGCCTAGAGTAAAGAGGCCATAGCTCAAGAGAAGCATAATGGAAAAATGAGCAAAAGATATGGACAGTCACTGAAAAATAAATATAAATAGCTCTAAAATACATGCAAATATATTCATTCCCACTCAGAATAAGATAAAGGTAAATTAAAACTACATTGAAATGCCATTTTTTGCCTACTGAATGGGCAGATATTAAAAAGTCTGATAATGCATCATGCTGGCGAGAGTGTGGGGAAACAAATACTCACTTGGTTAAACCAAAAAAAAAACCAAACCCATTGCTGACGAGTTGATTCCAACTCGTAGTGACCCTATGGGACAGAGCAGAACTGCCTCCATATGGTTTCAAAGGAGCAGCTGGTGGATTTAAACTGCAGACCTTTTGGTTAGCAGCCAAGCTCTTAACCACTGCGAATTACACTCCATACACTCTACCCCTTCTAGGAATTTGTCCTGCAGATATACTCAGACATGACGAAGATGGTATATGGACATGGTTAAATCATTGTAGCCTTGTTTGTAATAGAAAAAGATTGGAAACAACCTCAGTATTCATCAATAGGGGGTTGACAAAATTAACTGTGGTATGTTCACAAAATAGAATACACTGCCACCATATAGAACAAAATGAACAAGGAAGAAGATAGTTCTTTATGGACTGACAGGGAACATTCTCTATGATATGTAGTTACATGAAAAAAGAAAGGCACAGAACTGTGTATAGTGATATATGCTACCATTGTGTGAAAAAAATAAGGGGAAATATATTTTTCACTTTTAGGTGTTATCTTAGTTATCTAGTGCTGCTATAACAGAAATACCACAAGTGGGTGGCTTTAACAAAGAGAAATTTATTTTCTCAAGTTTAGGAGGCTAGAAGTCCGAATTCAGGGTGCCAGCCTTAGGGGAAGGCTTTCTCTCTCTGTCAGCTCTGGAGGACCGTTGTGTCTTTGAGCTTTTGCTTGTGGGTGATCTTCATGTGTCTTGGCATCAGTCTTGCCCCAGCTCTGCTCTGCTTAATCTGTTCCTTTTATATCTTGTAAGAGATTGACTCAAGCCACACCCTACACTAATCCTGTCTCATTAACATAACAAAGACAAAGCATTCCCAAATGGGATTATAATCACAGGCATAGAGGTTAGGATTTACAACCCATATTATTGGGGGACACTATTCGATCTGTAACAGGTATATAAAATACCTTAGGAAGAATGAACTAGGGAGCAGTAGACTTTGGTTACATTCGGGTAGGGGAGCTAGGTGGCTGGAGAATGGTAGATAGAGGAGGTGAGGAACTTCACTGTGATTATCTCTTTATACTTTTTGAATTTTGAATCATATGACCGTATTACTATTATAAGTCCTAGATGAGGGTAGTGAGGACGATGGATAGATATAATGGTAGTTTTACCCCACAGAGGAAAGTAATACAAACTCTCTCTGGGGTGGAGGACAGACCCCGGAGAGAGAAAAAGAGGGAGAAGGGAGAAGTAGGCAAGTGCCGATCCTCATCGCTTCCAGGTTTGAAGCTCAGGAAGGGGAATTGAGTTGGAAATGTTTCCACATAGATTTGACAATCTAAAGACAGAAAGAACTTAAGCCAAGCGTTTTGCCCTATACTTACCAAGCATTGCCACCATAGAGTAGAAATGGCAGCATGGTTTATTAGTCAGAAAATGGATATGACCTCCACCCCCACCCCCAATCCTGCTTCCAGGCATGAGACTGGAGACCTCTCTGGGAGAAATTTGCTAACTCAGAAGACTGGATTGAAAGTGTCTAAAGAGTTCCCGGAGTCCCTGGGTGGTGCAAATGGTTAACTTGCTTGGCTGCATCTCGGAAGAATGGCCTGGCAAACTACTTCTGGAAAAATTAGCCATTGAAAACCCTATGGAGCACAGTTCTACTCTGACACACTTAGAGTTGCCCAGAGACTCAGTGGCAACTGGTTGGTAAAGCGTGTCCAGCACAATAAATGAAAGACCCAGCCCAGGACCCGCTATCCAGGTGGAACGTCTTGTTGTGGGGTTGTAATGCAGAGAGAAAGACAGGCGCCTGAAAGCTTGGGGTGGGGGCAGTCACTCATGAAGAATTTGGAATCAGAATGGCCTTGGGCCACAGGGAGGGTGCTTTATCTTCCTCCTTTACAGCTCTGCATCTCAGAGCCTATATTTGGAAGATCCTGAAGATCATCTTCCCTTTTCCTCAATTGCCCTCCAATTGCCATCATCCTCCTCCCACCTCCTCCTTTAGCTGGGCCCCAGGCCCCCAGCCTTCCAGCCTTTCCTTAGGCCTTCTCACCCTGCCTTGCCACCCCTGCCCGCAGGGTCAGTTCCTGAGCACTGAGTGGACCAGGGTTTGAAAGGCACTCCTTATCCCCGCCCATGGAGGTGCCCACCAGTCCTTGGTCACTGACAGCCCCATGTGACTGACCGTGGCAGATACTTTTTGCCCTCAGAGGAGTGCTGTGTCACTGCACAGGCAAGCCCCAGAGTTGACATCTCCCTGCCTAGCCATGGGCCCCAACCTGCTCCTGCTGCTGCTCCTGACACTAGCAGGTAAGGTTCAGAAGGAGCTGCCCCTCTGTACCCCATATACTCAGCCCCCTGCCCAGGAATAACTGGCACCATTGTGCATTCCACATACATCAACAAGGCCCAGAAGGTAGGCCTCTAGGTCCCAGTGCCCTCAGCGCCTGCTAGGCATCTCCATTCGCTTTCTTTCTAGGTCAGGGTTCAGTAGGCAGCCTCCCCGAGGTGCTGCAGGTGCCCGTGGGGGGCTCCATTCTGGTGCAGTGCCACTACCGACTCCAGGATGTCAAGGCTCGGAAAGTGTGGTGCCGGTTCTTGCTGGAGGGCTGCCAGCCCCTGGTGTCCTCGGCAGTGGATCGCAGAGCCCCAGAAGGCACACGCATGTTTCTCACTGACCTGGGTGGGGGCCTGCTCCAGGTGGAAATGCTCGCCCTGCGTGAGGAGGATGCAGGGGAGTACGGCTGTGTGGTGGAAGGGGCCGCAGGGCCCCAGACCTTGCATCGCATCGCTCTGGAAATGCTCCCTCCAGGTGAGTTACCTCCTAGTTATACCTTCTTTTGCCTGGGCTCTTGGGCCCCTAGGGGGTACGGGTCCCTCGGGGGCAGGGGCCCATGAAAGGCAGCACTAGGAGGAGACATCCTTTCCCCAGAGCTGCAGGGAACGGAAACCATACTGGTTGGGAAGCCAGCGATAAATCAACCAAACAGCACCCTGTCCCCCTCTCAGAGGAGCTGGTTTCCCCACAGGAAACACAGCCGCCTTCCTTATCCTATGGCCTCGGCACTTCTTCCAGCATTTTCAACATACTTGATGCTATCTGCTTTTTACTTAGAAATGCTTTAAATGAAGTTTAATTTCAGCATGTAAACTGGAATTAATTTTTTATAACTTCCAGTTTTTAATTCCTGTAATGGGTTTGATGGCTTAAGTTACTTAATTTGTATCTTATTTAATTTTATAAATCTTCACTTAGCATCTAGTATGTGCCTCACGCATAGGCAGGGTACATTCAATTCCTGAACTGTTTTATCTCATTCAGTTTTAAAAACGGAAACAGTGTCACCAACATTTAAGCCAATATTCTCAACCCTATTTTAAGTATAGGAAACATTTTGTGCTTACAGGTTTCATTCTCACAGACTAGAACTTTCTAGTGTCTCTGCCTTTATTAAAAGAAAATTTTAAAAGTATTTAAAAAAAAAACTTTCAGAAAAGTTGAAGGATGCTGTAAAAGATGTTTGGAGGGAAAATGGCCAGCTATCAGAGACTGCAATAGATATATATTTTTTTTTCATTTGTTAGTTTTTCTTTTCACAGGTAATTTGTGCCCAATCCCCAAATAATGAAATTAAGATACTTTCCATTTTCTTGGTTTTTCCCCTTCTGTTCAGTGAGAGGGTTAGACTAAGTCGTCATTAGAATCCTTCTCGAGTCCATGATTAGTATTATATATTACAAATGTACTCCCGTTAATCCTAAACCACCCTTTATCCTCATTCCTTGACACTGGGGTCTGGTAATTCTGGTAACTACTTGTTTCTTGATATTCTAGTGTCTGGTAACTCAGACAGGTAACTAACAGGCAAATTTGCCAGGAAGTAAAACACTAGAGAAAGGGGGCAGGTAGCTGCAGCACCCCACCCACTGCAACAGGGTAGGAGCTAGAGACCCCACCTGGCTGTAGAGGATGGATGTTCGGGCAGGCAAGTAGAGCATGGCATCCAGGGAGAAGGTGGAGGTGGCTCAGGCAAGCACTGTGCTTCAGAGAGGTCTGTCCTAGGCAGCGCACTAGGCAGCAAGGGTGTGCAACAAGATGTGGGCCACAGCACCTCCAGTTCCTGGGGTGGCATGCGGTAGGAGTAGGAATGGTGAATTTCTCAAGAACAAGGCAAGCGCCTCATACCAGAGGGCCTGGAAGGACTGGCCAGGTTCCCAAGACAGATCCTCAGGTCCAGTGAGACCAACCCTCGGTCCCACAGACATCAGGCAAGTACATTATAGGAACCACAGAAGCCCTGTCATAAAACCGAGTATCAGAATCCAAAAAAGGCTCTCAACAAGGGTCAACTGGTGATGCATCCCATTAGGGACAGGGCAGAATTGCCCATAGGGTTTCCAAGGCTGTAATCTTTATGGAAGCAGACTGCCACATCGTTGCCCTGTGGACCTTCGGTTAGCAGCCGAGCACTTAACGACTGCATCACCAGGGTTCCTCTCCTTAAATCCTGAAGGCAGAGCTCAGACAGGGCTCAGCCAGCCTACAGGTAGGGTCACGTGGCTGCAGGTCACGCAGTATGAAAAGGCCTAGCAGGCTGTGCTGAGGCCTCTTTTGAGACTGAGAGACAGCAGCAAGATCACCACTGGGGATGAGGGCTGGAGAACCCTATTCTGTGGTGGGGAGGAGAGGTGGACAAAGATTACCCAGAGTGTCTTCTACATAGTCTGAACAGCCTGAGTAAGATAGAGGGGTGTGGGTTGAAGCAGATGAAAGAGAAGAAATGCGGGACACCACTGGTAGTAGAAGGGAAAGAGGGTATATTCACAACCTGGTATGCTAACTGAAAGCTTGGTGGTCCAAACTCATCAGCAGCTCTGTGGGAGAAAGACCTGGCAATCTGCTCCTGTAAAGATTACAGTTGAGAAAACCCTATAGGGCAGTTACTCTGTGCTATAGGGCAGCTATGAGTTGGAATTGACTCGAGGCACCTAACAACAATAGACACGAAGAGCCAGTGCCATTCCCTGACCCCCAAGAAGGAACATCCCAAGCCTCTCCTTCCTCAGATCCACATCCCCAGTCTCTCAGATGTCAACACTGTTATGTGCTCATTAAACATTTCCTTCTGACTCAGCTCCTAGCCTGAAAGAAGAGGAGGTGGAGGAAACCTATAAGACTGGCGTTCTGGTTGACAAGCACTTCTCAGACCCTGTGGGCAGTGCCAGTCCTCTGGAACCCAGCTGGGATGAGAAGAGGTACTGACAAGAACTGGATTTGGGGTGGTCAGGAAAGATGGTGGGGAAGACATGACTTGCTTAGAGCTCCAGACAAAATCAAAGGGGGAAACTCTGATCAGGCAGACAGGCAGACCTCTCTATCCCAGTTCAGTGATGGGTGGGTCTTCCGCCAGTATACCCTGAGAGTGCATGTCTTTTCTGCCCTGACTGAGTCTACCCTCCTCATTCCATTCCCAAAATCTCTTTCTCCCAACCGTGGCTCACGGAGAACCCTCTGTCATTGCTCTAGGGCTCCTGGCAAGCAGGCCCTGCAGGATTCAGGGCTAAGCCAGCTGTCCCTCAGGATCCTATTGATCTTGGGCGTTGTGCTCCTGCTGGGCTTGCTGGTCGTTGCAGTGGTGCTGTTTGCTGTGATGGCCAAAAGGAAAGGTAGGTAGCTGTCTACTCATCTATCCCAGCCTGGTCTCACTGGTCTTGTATCTATCAGCTCTGCAGACTAGGCCAGGAGTCTAGGTCTGCTTCCCCTACAAATGGGGTTGTCAGACTTTAGTAAAGGTGCCCATACCCCAGGGTTCACATGGCTGAAGAATGGAGGTGAGGGAAGGAGATTTGGTGGGGAAAGGCCTGGGGAAAAGAAAAGAAGTGGAAAGGGTGGGGCAGAAGGATTGGAGGAGATGGGGGACAGGGCATTGGGAGGTAGGCTGAGTGTCAAGAGGCAGGTTGAAGGGAGCTGCGGAAGCAGTCAGCGGGTGAGGAAAAGTTAGAGGAGTCTGTGGGGCTGGAGAGACTGAGAAGGTAAAGGTTTGGTAGTGGGGATGGTGGAAGAAGGTCAGGCTGGACTAGGAAAGAGGCTTCAGAGGCTGTGAAGGGAGTGGGGGATGGGCTGTGAGCCAGCACAGGAGGCAGACGGTGCTGCTGTCCTCTGTCCTGCCAGGGAACAGACTTGCAGCTTGTGGCGGATTCTAGACTAACAGAGTTCTAGGCATGGTAAGAAGCCTGTGCCGACCCCCAACACCATATTCCCCAGACCCTTCATCTGTGATGCTCACTAAGAGGCCCCAGGATGATGGGGTGGAGAAAGTCAGCGTCCAAGCCCTTTTCCTAAATGTTGTAGATTGGGCACCAATGGTTTCCCTTGGTATCCCATCTTCCCAGATTTGGGGAGAAACTCAGTGCTTGAAAATCTTCAGAAGGAATCTGGTGAAGGCTTCTTACCCATGGATACACTGAAGATTTGAGAGAGGCAGGGCCAGTGTGGTCCCAGGCTTCCCATCAAAGGGAATTGAGGCACAGGGAGGCATCCTCTTCTCCTGATTTGCCTGCTTTTATTACAGGACCCCTCCTTGGTGGGTCACCACATCAGTGATTCTGGACTGGCTGCTGATTTGCCATCGGATGTACCATATGTTAAGCTCGACTCACCACCTTCCTTTGACAATACCACTTACACTAGCCTACCTCTTGATCCGCCATCAGGGAAACCCCCACTTCCACCACCATCAGGCACTCTCCCTCCTAAGGCCCTGATCTGCTCCAAGCCTGTGACATATGCCACAGTCCTCTTCCCCAGAGGTGACAAAGGTGGAGGGGGCTCCTGTGAACCAGCCCAGGATCCACCTACTAGCCAGACTCCACCCAGCTAAGCTGCTCACCACACTGTATGCTCACAGAGGCCACCCCCAGGGGTTCTGTGTATCCATCCACCCAGCTCACACCCTAGATCCTAGGATATCAGAGCAACTAGGGGTTTTAGGATCTGATTGGATACCTTGACTTTAGTGACCAGGGAAGTGATACTTGGATATGAGTGGGGTGTCTATCTTGGGGGAACCCACCATGATGGTTCCTTTACCACTACAGCACTGCGCTAAATAAACCCTAAATGATGATGATGTGTAAGCTCATGGTGGTTGATGGGGGGAGGAAAAGGCTTGAGTTTGACTAATCACATGGCCTGTGAAAAGACTCTAGTCCAGAGTTTGTGCTACATAATTGTCACCTGTCCTGCCAGTGGGGATTCAAGGGGCACCAAGAAGACTTCCTCAAAAGTATTACCTGCCTCTCTCATGATGCCTAAAAGTACAAAATCATTTGCTTGAGTCTCGAAAGTTCTGCTTCCTGCTCAACACCTTGTAAACAAGCGACATCTTATGATTAGAGTGGTGGTGTAATGATTAGTTAAAGGAAACCCAGAATGGATAGGGTGTGAGAGATGAGGCTGAAAAGAAACAGAAATAAGGGCAGAAACTACAATAGAAGGTAGAAGGAGATAAAAGACCTTTGCAAGTGTCAGTTTTACCAGAGCTGGCTCTCTCACAACTGGGTGGCAATGTGGCAGCACAATTCCTTTTGGCCTGAAATCTGGAAAAGCCCAATGGAATAAAAGCATATGTGGTCAGGGACCAAGTGGTGGTGGTACGGCAAAAGTGTGGCTATGGTTGAGTGTGAAGGAAAGCTAGTCCAGGCTGGGGGTAGGAAGGCCATTAAGGTCCCTGTCAGGATTTCTTCTGAAACTGTTCAATTTGAAAGTATTTGCCCATATTAGAATGAGACTTTAATGGAGGGGATGAGGTGCTCAGGAATCCAGTCTTGTTACAATCATGGAAAGCTAGGCAGAGAGAGGTTTTCATAATCTGGAGGGTCCCTAAGCTTGGCCTAGAACAGGGGCTGTGCCTTGAGTTCCCAGCTGACTAGGTCTTGTGATTCTATTTTTAGGGAGCTCTGGCAGGATGTGCTGAGCTTCCCCTGATAGAGTCTCAGACTGTGACAGAACCCCTTTTACTTCTATCCTGTGGGGAGGCAGGAGCAGTCAGGCTGTCCACCAGTCAACTAAGCCTTCACTCTCCCTGGGATCAGATGACAAGGGACTGCCTGGGTGTGAGGGGAAAGGCAGAATAAAATCTAAAAGGAACCCTCTGGGAAAAACTTACCCTAGTCTGAACGTATTTAGAACTCCTTAGAACCTGTTTATATTTAACAGTACCAAGGAAAATACTAAGGAAGATAATATCATCTATCAACTGGGCAGTGGAGGAGAGGGAAAGAGGAAGAGGAAATATATTAATTCCATCATGGCTCACAGTAGGGAGTCTATGAATACCAACCAAAGTCATAGTTATAAAAGTAACTTCTAAAATGAAAACACCAGTCTTCTAAATCACAAGATTGTTCGATAATTTCCAAACTGGGTTGGATCAGCTTTCTTTGGAATAGGCATAAATACGGATCTCTTCCAGTCGGTTGGCCAGGTAGTTGTCTTCCAAATTTCTGGGCATAGACAAGTGAGCACTTCCAGAGCTGCATCTGTTTGTTGAAACATCTCAATTGGTATTCTGTCAATTCCTGGAGCCTTGATTTTTATCAATGCCTTCAGTGCAGCCTGGACTTCTTCCTTCAGTACCATCAGTTCTTAATCACATGCTACCTCCTGAAATATCTGACCGTCGACCAATTCTTTTCGGTACAGTGACTCTGTATTCCTTCCATCTTCTTTTGATGCTTCTGGCGTCGTTCAGTATCTTGCCCACGAAATCCTTCAATATTGCAACTCAAGGCTTGACTTTTTTCTTCAGTTCTTTCAGCTTGAGAAATGCCAAGCATGATCTTCTCTTTTGGTTTTCTAACTCTAGGTCTTTGCCCATGTCATTGTAATACTTTACTTTGTCTTCTCTAGCTGCCCTTTGAAATCTTCTCTTCAGCTCTTTTACTGTATCATTTCTTCTGTTCATTTTGGCTACTGTACGTTAAACAGCAAGTTTCAGAGTCCCTTCTGACATTCATTTTGGTTTTTTCTTTCCTTCCTGTCTTTTTAATGATCTCTTGCTTTCTTCATGTAGGATGTCCTTGATGTCATTCCACAACTCGTCTGGTCTTCGGTCGTTAGTGTTCAGTGTGTCAAATCTATTCTTGAGATGGTCTCTAAATTCAGGTGGGATATACTCAAACTCGTACTTTGGCTCTCGTGGACTTGTTCTGATTTTATTCAGGGAACTGCCAGGAATCCAAGCCAGATTCAGGAGAGGACATGGAACCAGAGATATCATTGCTGATGTCAGATGGATCCTGGCTGAAAGCAGAGAATACCAGAAAGATGTTTACCTGTGTTTTGTTGGCTATGCAAAGGCATTCGATTGTGTGGATCATAACAAATTATTGATAACATTGCGAAGAATGGGAATCCAGAACACTTAATTGTGCTCATGAGGAGTCTGTACGTGGATCAAGACACAGTCATTTGAACAGAACAAGGGGATACTGCATGGTTTAAAGTCAGGAAAGGTGTGCGTCAGGGTTGTATCCTTTCACCACACTTATTCAATCTGTATGCTAAGCAAATAATCTAAGAAGCTGGACTATATGAAGAAGAATGGGGCATCAGGATTGGAAGAAGACTCATTAACAACCTGCGTTATGCAGATGACACAACCTTGCTTGCTGAAAGTGAAGCGGACTTGAAGCACTTACTGATGAAGATCAAAGACTACAGTGTTCAGTATGGATTACACCTCAACATAAAGAAAACAAAAATCCTCACAACTGGACCAGTAAGCAACATCATGATAAACGGAGAAAAGATTGAAGTTGTCAAGGATTTCATTTTACTCGGATCCACAATCAACACCCATGAAAGCAACAGTCAAGAAATCAAACAACATATTGCATTGGGCAAATCTGCTGCAAAAGATCTCTTTAAAGTGTCAAAAAGCAAAGATGCCACTTTGAGGACTAGGGAGGGCTTGACCCAAGCCGAGGTATTTTCAATTGCCCCATATGCATGTGAAAGCTGGACAGTGAATAAGGAAGAAAGAAGAAGAATTGATGCCTTTGAATTACGGTGTTGGCAAAGAATGCTGAATATACCACGGACTGCCAGAAGAATGAACAAATCTGTCTTGGAAGAAGTACAACCAGAATGCTCCTCAGAAGGGAGGATGGTGAGACTTTGCTCACCTACTTTCAACATGTTATCAGGAGGGACCAGTCCCTGGAGAAGGATATCATGCTTGGTAAAGTAGAGGGTCAGTGAAAAAGAGGAAGACCCTCAAGGAGATGGACTGACACAGTGACTGCAACAATGGGCTCAAGCAAAACAACAATCATGAGGATGGTGCAGGACTGGGCAGTGTTTTGTTCTGTGGTACACAGGGTTGCTATGAGTGGGAAACCAACTCAACAGCACTTAACAACAACAACACAAATTGCAAGAAACACACACAAAATCAAAGAAAATGTAGGCAACTTGGTAAGATGGCTGAGCACCTTGAGGGATGGTGCCATATCGGAGACTCAGTGTTAGTCTCTGTTGCTGGCAGGCTGGGCACTCAGCAGTGGCTGAAGCCAAGTCGGCCTTGGTGAGTGGACGTCTATGTTGCTGAGCCCTTGCATAACCTCCATCCCTGCCACCATGGCCACTCTGTCCATTAGCCCAT